TAAGTCAATATGTAATATCTAGAAATGAAAAAAAAGTCAGCAAATAAAAATTCAGATCTAGTATTTAGAATTATGGAGGTAAATACCAAGAGAAAGCGGTGAAAAAATTGTGTGTGGTTTGCTTTATGGGAAAGGAGAAAATGGCAGAGAGGTGAGAGAACAGCCTTTCAAAACCAGCTTTGCAAAGTCGTTTATTCTTTAAGCTATGTACATGGCCTTGGATCAAAACAAGAACTAAATAATGTTGCCCAGGTAATTTTTATCTCTACAGACATCTCACCTCCCAGGAGACTCACTGGTGTAGCACTGCTCAAACTCAGACTGGCTACGGTGGCGGAAGAGGGAGAAGGGAAATAAACAAAAACCCCCACAAAAAAAACAGAGGGGCGACCTTTAGGGCACTCCTTTCTCATTCCTCAGACTGATAGAGCTGCTCTTGGGGCTCTGCCTCAGTGCACCCATTGTACACTTCCAGTTGTGGAGCTGGCTTTGAGTGCAGGCTAGCTAATGCCAGAGGACAAAAGTAGCGAATTCCCCACTGGTTTGGTGGAATTTTCGATTCTGGTCCTTCCCTGGTTGACCTGCTGCTGCTGCTACCATTTACATTTCAGAGTCCCCACAGGAAGCGGCTCCAGGCATTCTGTCCAGGAGTTACAGGTGGAGTGACTTACTCCATCTCTCCTGTAACAAGAAAATACACCCATTTGAAGTGTATGATTCAGTTGCATTTTCAACAGATTTGTAGTTAAGCAGGTAATACAACTTCAGAACATTTCTGACCCCCCCCCCCCCCGAATATCTCTGGTGTCCATTTGTAGTCACTTTGCCTTTCCACAGTCAGCTGCAGTTACTCAGTTGTGTGAACACAGCCGGTTTCCTTTCTCCTGTCACCAGCTGATGAACATTTGGGTTGTTTTCATTTTCTGGCTACTATGAGTGTGTTGCTGAGAACATTTGTGTAGAAGATAGGAGTACAAGAATGGGTACAGGTACATATGTGGATATATGTTTTCACTTTTCTTGTAGATTCCTAATTGCTAGGTCATATAGTAACCTTGTTTTTAACTAAGAAATCGTCAAAACTTTTTTCCCAAGTGGCTGCACCATGAACATTTCCCACCAGCAAAACGTGTGAGAGTTCTAGTTTCTTCACATCCTCACCAACACTTCTTTTTACCTTTTTATTGTTATAGCCATTCTGTTGGGTGTGAAATGGCATCTCATTTTGGTTTTAATTTGTATTTCTCCATGACCAGTGGTATTGGAATTATTTTCATGTACTTACTGGCCATTCTTATATCTTTTTTTTTCCATGTTTATTTATTTTGAGAGTGAGAGAGGCAGAGCACGAGCAGGGGAGGGGCAGAGAGAGAGGAAGAGAGAGAATCCCAAGCAGGCTCTGCACTGTCAGTGCAAAGCCTGACGCGGGGCTTGGCCCCAAGGACCGTGAGATCGTGACCTGAGCAAAGTCGGATGTTTAACCGACTGAGCCACCCAGGCACCCAACATTATTTATAATAGCCCCAACTGGGATGTACCTCAATGTATATAAATAAATATATTTATATGTCCTTTAAAAGAATACTATTCGGCAATAAAATATTACCCATTACAATACAGATGATATACAAACAATGTTGAAGGAAAGGATTGAGACACAAAAGAATATGCTCTGTATCAGTTGTTCCTAAAGTGTGATCCCGGGACACTAGTAGGTCGTTCAGATTCCTTCAGGGAGCCTGCAGGGTCATCACGTTTTCATAATAATACCAAGACAATTATTGACTCTTTTTGTCTTACCCAGCTAATGCACAGTGGAGTTTGAGAAACTAGATGCATAAGGTCCAGCTGGGAAGCAGAATTTTCCCAGCAATAATTTGAACAGAGAAAGTTTAATATAACTGATAACTATAGTGGGATTGACTGCAGGGAGGCAAAGACAATTATAAAGTATATCACGGGTTGAGAGTACCAAGGAATGAAAAACCTTGGAAGGGAGCCCCCACCCTAATGCTGGGGTTCAGACCTCCTTGGAGAATGTGCAGTTGCTGCTCACTAGATAGAGGAAACTTACTGGTTACTCCTGGCGATACCTGGCACAAGGTACCCTTCAGAGTGGGGGCTGGTAGGCAGGCCTAATAAGCAGGAAATACACTTTGAAGTGCTTTGACACAGGAAACCAGAGCCAGAAATGGCAAACAGGAACTCTCCTTTTGGGGTGCAGGAAGCTCAAACTGAGAAGCCAGCTACTGAGGTACCTGGGAGACTTGCTGAGAATCTTCCTGAAGGAGTAGGTGCTGTTGAAACTCAGTGGGGACGGTGCATCTGGGCATCCACCACACATTCCACTGGTGGCCACAAAATGGGAAGGAGAAGAAAAATGAAAGTGAACCAGGAAGGGAAGTCCTTCCTTCCTGCAGTGTCCGTCCAGCCCCCTCTGTTAGTATGTGTGCCATGCAGAGCTTTTGTATGCCTCTTGCCAGCTGCAGAGGGGAAATGCTGAGAGGAGCCAGTTACATCACCACAGAGTAGGCAGTGGAGAGTGTATGAGGGGTGCAGAGACCGTGAATCCATAATGGACGCACACTGTGCCGGCGGTGAATCGTCTCTGATAGCTAGTGTAATGCGTGTTTTTGGATTCTTATGTTTTAAAATTTTCTTTTTTAGTTTATAATGTAAATATCAATAGCTATAACCTACATAAAAATGCTTTGGGATCATCAGTTTTTAAACACATAAAGGGGTTATGAATCACAAAGCTTGAGAACTACTGCTCTGTATTATTCTTTTTAAATAAAGTTCAAAAAAAGAAGAGGAGGAGGCAGAACTCCTCTGTAATGCTAAAGGTCCAGCAGAGTGGCAGGTTTGTGAAGAGGCACAAAGGAAACCTGTAGGGTGTTGGTCACAGTCTGCTTCATCTGGGCACCAGATCTCTTCTTCCTGTCCACTTGCTAGCCATGCACATGGCTAACAGTACTGTTTACATGCTGCGTATTTTGCCTAATTATCCTCTGGGTCTTGATTTTATTCTTTTGTTGTTTTGGTAAGCCAACAACTTTAGTCACCTTGGCTGTTTTCTGTTTCCCAGTTCTCCTACAATAATGAGTAGGATTAATTTGGCAAAAGAGATCATATATGACTTAATACGACTCAGTTAAATAATATTTTAAAATATTAATATTTTAAATATTACTTGTTAATTAAAATATTAATATTAAATAATATTAACAATATTTTTCTGAACCCCCTTTGCTCACATACAGGCCATTCCTGATATCAAAGTCCTATGCCAGTAGTCTGTGAGTCAGGCGTTCAGGATGGATCTTCCTATGAAAACATGAGTGTCTGGGCTTACTCACCTATGATGTACCTGAAGCATAGCACGGAGTATATGTATAATCTAGCCACCATTTATAACATAACAGTTTTGATGGGAAGTATTATTTAGAAGTATTATTTAGAATGCTGAGGACACAATACCCTACAATATCCTTCCCATAGTCTACACACCTGGTCATCTGGGCCTCACCAATGCTGCCTGGACTTGGAAGAAGCTGTAGACAGGGCAGCAGGCTGTGTGGTGGCCTCCTAGTGGGGCTTGGAGTGAACCTAAGATGAGGGGCATGGACTGTGATGTGGAAATGAGGCTGTGGGCGATTGGACAGAAGTGAGGTTATTAGTAACAGGTGACAGAGACCACACTGTGAAGGGGGACCTGGAGGATGGTCAAGAGGATGGTAGGGCCTGAAGAGGGATTTAATGAAGGACAGTGGACACTATCTGTTTGTCCTCTCTGTGGAGAGAGGAGAGACTGGTGGTGATGGGGCCCTGACAGTAAATGTTCCTTCTCTTCCTCCTCCTTTCAGCCTCTATCCCTCGTCATCTCTTTTCCTTTCCATTTTCCTTTTCTTCCAGCTGCCAGCCAGCCGCCCTAGCATGGGACTTCAGTAAGTAGATTATCATGGCGGCTTTAGAAGAGGGGTTTCATTGGTATTTTTCTCATTTCTTTCCCCTTCTTTCCTTTCTCCACTCACTGGCAGGTGCTAACAGATGAGATTGGAGACACTAAAAGGTTTGAGAAGCTTGTGAGAGAGCAGGAAACAAAGGTGGAAATAGAAGCCTGGAGTGACGGTTGCAGTTTGTAGATACGTACAAAAGAGTTACATGTGCATTTGTTAGGAGTGCTCCTGTTCTGAACTGCATCCCCTGGTGTCTGCTTGCTAACTGTGTTTACAGTTCTCTGTGGTGTAGAAGTTTGATCCAGCTAACAAGACTGGAAGGAGAGGTCATGTTGCCCAAGGAAGTGCTGGAAACATGACTAATATGTTGATTTTGTGTGAATATATTTTGGGTGTGTTTGGTCTTCTTGATGATTGTATTTCTAGACCTGGTCATTACTACACGAGATGCATATTGGTATTTCAGCATGGGGGAAGTGAGTCAAGCGTTTTTGTTCAGCAGAGCATGGACTTTGGAGTCCTCATCATTATGTCTGTCCTCATCTCCTCTGTGAAATGTGGCTCCAGATACTTCTCAGAATTATTGGGAAGCCTTTCTGCTAATACCAAATAGTACTCAGTAATTATTAGCTCTCTTCTTTTGTGGAAAGTACTTTTTGTTTAGATTATTAAACTGCGTAGACTCCATTGATTCCAGTTTTGTTTTGTTTTTCCCCTAATTGGATTCTTGAGACGCATTCAGTTTCAGATTGATGATGTAGCCTTAGTACATTGTCCATTAAAATGAATCAACTGAAAACACTGACCAGGAAGAGGTGCCTGATTTTAAGTATACAGTTAACATCTTTAAGATAATTTAAATCTAAAAATATAACTTTAAATAGGTACTTAAATAAACCAAAACTTAAAAATGAACAGTTCCCAAGAGTCCCACCACTAGAGCAAACTGTCTTTATTGTTCTCTTACCCCTCCTACTCCAGATGCATTGAGTATGCTATTTTAACAGTCACTTTTTATAAAGGCATTTGCTTTGTCTCTAGGTGTAAAACAAAGGTGTATCCCGATAATCTTCCTACAACAAGTGTGGTGATTGTTTTCCACAATGAGGCTTGGAGCACACTTCTGCGAACTGTCCATAGTGTCATTAATCGATCACCAAGACACATGCTAGAAGAAATTGTTCTAGTAGATGATGCCAGTGAAAGAGGTAAATTTTAAATTTTAATGCCATAATATGCTACAGCTTTTATCATTAATGGTTAAGAAACGTCGCTATCATTTTTAACCTAATAATTTTCTACAGACTTCTAATTTATCCTAAGAATATTTGTGGCATTTGGACTCATTCACATATGCAAAAAATTACATCCTTGTGAAAGAAACATAAAATATTATCTTTATTAGCATTTAACTTGTGTCACAACTTAATCTTGTTTTAAAAAGAAATAATGCTATATAATATAAATATTTATGTAGAACTCCTGAAAAAAACCACGTAATTTTGTTAGAATTTTCCCTGTGGGAAGCTGCAGCCATGAGTCCATGGAGAGAAATGAGATGCTCCTTAGAGCCAGGATGGAGAAATTGAGTTCCATGTGTAGTAGGAAGTACCTCTGGCAAGAAAATGGAGTCTCAGCTGGACAAGCCTTAGTCCTCCAGATTCTTCTTAGGTTTTCCCATTTTCTCCATTCCTAGGTTCAGTAATGATCTATGGCTGATTATATAAAAGGCTGAGAAAGGAACTTATGAGAAAGTGGTATGTAATATGACTCTTATAATAAATCTATACCGTGACTCTTGCCCAAATACTCTTCTAGGGAGCTCAGAATTTTTCATAAGCTTAGAATCTCTCCAACTGTCTCATGAAGTACTTGTTTGGGTAAGGTGCATTCATTTAAAGTACCTTGAGCCAACATCATTTATTTCAAATCCTTCATGGAGATTTCACACCACAAGGTAGCATAGAAGGCTCTGCTAAGTCCCATCTATAGAGAAACCTGTTAAACTGAGACATACCCAGCATTTTCCAGGCTTTTTCCCCCACAGTACTATTGAGGATCATTGGTGGCCTGTGTTCGTTCCCCCAATATTCCTGTGCTCCTATGAGAAAAATTTGGAAGGAACTACAGAAAATGGCTCCTCCTTGACCAGCCATAGACTTCCTGATCATTATTTCAGCCTCTTGTGCTACTTCCAACTTTCTTGCCCAATATCACTGCATCTACTAAGATGGTTTATCTAAGTATTTTACCTTCTCCTTCCATGACTGTTCTAAATATGTAAATTTAATCACAATCACTTCATGTCTTAATTATGGGGAGTAATTTGCACATTAATAACAATTTAAATCTCACCACTTTGCCAGATTATAGAAGTAACAAATAAAGAATAATATATGGTCTTCCTTCCGGAGTACCTTATAGCTTGCCTCCTTAATGTAATTAAGGAGACAGTTTATAAACAAACAAAGCATTTAAATAATAGCATAATATGTAATGTAGTTAATATCAACATGTGTGAACTGTTAGAAATTAAGAATATGGCAATTAAATAGTTACTATTGACAGTAGAAGTGTAAATCCTCATGTGGATAATTGTTTGCCAGGAGATAATTACTCCTTTAGGAAAATTAGCTTAAGTTCATTTCAGCAGCAATATATATGAACATCGGTTCTGCAAGTGACTATGTTTGTTTTACTTATATGTTGATATTTGCTAAATTAAATATTCCTCAAGGAAAGATCTTTTTCCTCAGAAGAAATGAATTGTTTTTCCATTTCCTCCTTTGTATTCTCTAATACTCTGTTGAATGACTGAGAGGGCTGTGTGAATAGTACGTTTTTGTAGGATGTGGTCTAATCAAAGACCCATGTCCCCACAACTGTAAAGTGACAAAGTCACATATACCAACTGTATTTTCCACTCCTCACGTAGGCCCTTCTTAGTCACCCAGCCTGTATAAATCTGTAAAAGAAAACGTGGGCAGAGGTCTACTTCATGGCTCCACCTGGGGCTCTTAGTCACCACACAGGGTCCCTGAGAAGTATCCCAGAGCCCTGGCTCAGGGGCTGCTTCTCCCTTATCTGCCTGGAAAGCCTCAGGTGGATAGCTCAGCATTTCTCATATTTGGGAACCACTAGGTATTGTGTCTTTGTGGTTATAATTGTTTGTAGCCCTTCTATCCAGATTGAGAATTATCTAGGGTAATCTTCTTTGGTTCTCTTATTTAGGTGGTAACTGTTAGGCCCAGGAACTAGAGCAAGCTCTGGTTTTATGTAACTCTTTATGTCTGCCTTTTTAGTCCTGAGACACATCCAAGGCACCCTCACTTCTCACCTGGACTAATGACACAGACTAGCTGGTCCGGCCTCCCTGCAGATGCCCTTGACTTCCCATGCATTCTCCACGCTGCATGCACAGTGAGCTTTTAAACTCCTGGCACTTCTGACTGAAACCGTTCCTCTGAGGCCTGTATGCCCTGGCCACTGCCTGCATCTCGGCTCACTTCCCAAACCACTCCCTGCCCACCCCATCCCTGCAGCTCAGCTCAGATGTTTACTCAGAATCACGATATATTTAGAGAGGCCTTCCTTGAACTCCAGAGACCAGGCCGTGTCCCTCTGAGCGTGTTTGGGAACACTAGACTCCTCCACAGCTCTCATCAGTTTTAACTATTTATCCGTCTGTTTAATGACCATCTCCCCTGCTAGACTGTATACCCCGTCAGGACTATGTGCTCACCTCTCTGTTCTCAGTGCTGACAGCACTTATTATATAAACAGTCCAGAATTTAATGAGTGAATGAAAAAGTAATCTACCAGTCAATTAATCCTTGCCCTTACTTCTTGTCTGTGCAGACTTCTAATTAGGTCATGTAGCATGCATAGTTTGCTTATGGCCTCAGGATACCCAGTTGCACAGTTAACCTGCTGAGTTGTCAGTAGCCCCATTTATTACGTATGAAGTAGGTGCTATAATTATCCCTGTTTTACTGATGAGGCTTAGCATAAACCTAAAACTTGACCTCTTAATGGCTACGTACGTCATATCTCATAACTTCACTGCTGCAGGGTCTGTACTGAAGGCATTCAGGACGAGTCTTCACTTCACGTCAGAAGTTATGTAATTGTCATCTCAGAAGGTTATCTTAAGACCTAGAACTGACACCATGTTCCTAATCTGAGATGGCTGTTGTTGTCCTCATTTTACACAGAAGGAAGCAGAGGTTCCTATTTAGTAGGGATTAGGAGTCAGATTTTTTAGACTCTAAATTCCTTGTTCTTTCTATTGCTCTTTAGAGTTCTGCCTAAGATTTCTCCAATGTTGCTGTAAGCAATGAACCTTCCCCTGACACACTCTCTGGCAGCCTCATACCCCCTGACAGAGAGATGCCTGGGGACTCATTTATAGGCTAATGGCTATAAAGATATTCTAATAAACAAGATTCTCATTTGTAGGTGACACGGAAGCTTATCACTTAACCCTCTGTGGCTTCATTTTTGTGGAATTAGGCTTCAATAAGTAGTTCCTAATCCCCCCCCTCCCCTCCCCAGCCCTGGGTTCATAATTCTATATCATCTGTTAGTAAGACACCTATATCTTAGCCTTATTGCATGAAGGCCACAAAGATGCCAAGAAAATTTGTGGAATAGCAACTTTTTTGAGCTGCCAGACCAGAAAATCATGCATTTTTCATTTTATTTATAGATAGGACAGAGTATTTTAGCTTTCAAAGACGTGGGACTTGGGAATTAGATTGCTTTGATTCTTAAGACTTTAAGCTGTCTGGTATTTTTGGGAAAGTTTATTGGGAGACATCTTGTGTGTGGCACACCCAACCTCAGTTGGTTGAAGCACTAGAATATATACCACACCCTAACACATGGGAGTCCATCCAACTGGACATAAAGTAATTTAAATTTGTGTTAGCTCTGGTGATTATACTATCCTGAGTTATTCTCTGTGTAATTCCTTTCTGGGATTTCTTGTTGGGGGTGAGAAGATGGGCTTTGAAACCAGGCAGACCTGGGTTTGAATCTTGGCTCCAACCCTCAACACGCTGTGTCACTTTGATCGGTTCATTTTATATTCTAAGCCTTGAATTTTTGTGTCTCAAATCTGTGTAATGACAATCTCAAAGGGTTACTGCTTTAAGGATTAAATGATATTAAATTGGTGTAAAGAGCTTGGCACTATGCTAAACAGACACAAAATGATATAGCTACTACTGCCAAATCTTCCTCTTCTCTAGGATGGGTACTGCCCTCACCTTGTTATTCAGAATGGAGTTCTGTCTTTCTGACCCTAAGACTTGCTGCATAAAATCACAGTGGTGACTCAGTAGGAGTTCTACTCCCAGTATTTTACAGATACTGTTTTTAGCCCCAAATACATTAGGAAATATATGAGCAGAAATGGAATCAGTGTTCCATAGTGGGATAGATAGGCCTTTTTCTTTCATAAGTTTCATATCCCTGATTATTTCATTGTTGAGTCATTCCAGTTCAAACAGGCAAGAACCATGTCACCCTGATTTGTCTTTTCCTTTGTGCTTTATAGGAAGCCCTTTGAATTTCCATGTTTACTATTTTAAGAGCCCCTTAATGCATACACTCTGATCCCTGGGAGCTCCCCCTTACTAGAGTCCCATGGGACAGAGCTAGTCCTAGGAGCCCCAGGAGTTCTGTCTCAGGATTTTCCTTCCCTAAAGACATTATCCTCATACCTATCCTGTTGTTGGGGTGTTGGAAAGACATTTGACCAAACCACCATCAGTAGCTTCTATAGCATAAATCCTATGAACTAATCTTCTCTGAAAAATTCTTTTGCTTTGCTTTGAGGAAGCTGAGACTTTTCTGCTTTTTAAAGTGTTATGTATTTTGGAGGCAGGACTTCTTTAGCTTAGGGGCACAACCTCTATGTGAACACCCCAGGACGGTTGCTGGTTTCATGCAGCCACTTCTTCTCCCTTTCTGCTTTCCCCCCTTTTCCTTCAATTGCTCTTCCCCCGTAAGATGCTTGTCACTTAGACCTACTTGTCTGCTAAGTAGTCCAGCATTTCTCTTCTGAGCTTGACCTCACTCCCTGCCTCCCAGTACAGGAACCATCGTCAGAGTCTGTGGTAAGCATTAAGACTGTTAGTTTCTGCCTTTGATGAAATCCCACAACTGTCTGAACTCTAACAACTGTTATGTAGTCTGTTGTTCTCTCTATTAAGGTCTGGATTTAATGCTCTTGAACTACTTTCTTTCTGTTCCTGATCCTTAAGCATGATTAGAGAAAGAAGAATTAAGCCAAGAGAGGTGTTAGGGAACCATGGTGACCTGCTTGGCTTTGACTGAGCCTGCACCTAAAGGCTCTCCCCCAAGTCTTCCTGTAGGAAGGTAGAGGCATCTCTAGGACGTGCTCTGAGGAAAGAAAAAGGCTCCCTTCTGTGAAATGGGTTTGTGATCCAGAGAGCCTCACTGAGAGTGCTCAGGAAATATGTGTTGAATGAATATTGCACATCAGAATTGCTTTTCATCAGGGTAGCACCAGGTGGGTCAGTCTTTGCATGTGATGTCTCGTTTTGTTAATTTTTCAGACTTTTTGAAACGACCTCTAGAGAGTTATGTGAAAAAATTAAAAGTACCAGTTCACGTAATTCGAATGGAACAACGTTCTGGACTGATCAGAGCTAGATTAAAAGGAGCTGCGGTGTCTAAGGGCCAAGTGATCACCTTTCTGGATGCTCACTGTGAATGCACAGTGGGATGGCTGGAGCCTCTCTTAGCCAGGATCAAACACGACAGGTAACTTCCCGGGGTCAGTGAATTTGCTTTCAGTGTGTTTGTCCTAAACGGTATGGTAAGCTGCAGAATTCTGGATTTTTAAATACATGCAAAAATAATTTCCTCCAAAGTTTGCTTTAAAATACCCATGAAGAACACTCTAAACTAAATGTGAAGGCAACATGAAGAAATGTTTGCAGTCTTGTTGATGAGACTGGATCAGGAACCAGGTTGCTCAGATGTGTGCCTCATACTCTGTTTATTACATGGGAGCAGACCAGAAGCCGGTGAACTCGGGAATGGCAGGATTAAACCCTTGATCGTCCCTGCTGTCCGAGGCTGAACTGGGGCAGGCAAGTCACCTCATCCTTCTCTACTTCCTTACTGGGACTGCAGCACTCAGCCTGTGGCACAGCAAGACGGAGAAGGCAGGTGGAGAGATCAGCACTGCAGCCTGAGGTGCTTAGCTGTGCATGGAAAGGCCCTGTAATCTCTGGCAGTGCAGAAGAGCTGTGGGAGTAATGCACACATTTGTCAGAGAGTGACCTGTCACCTGCCGGTCTCTGCACAGTTCTTGTGTCCCAGGGGAGAGGCTGACCCTGGTCTGCTAGACTTAGATTAGTTGAATTTCTCCTCCCCGTTGCCATTTGAGCCAGAGGCGGTCTGTGGCCACTCCACCTTAAGGTTTGACTTGAGGAAGGCAAACTCATACCAGGTAAGTGAAGCACAGCACACACCACTGCATCTGTTCTGTTTGTTAGCAAATGCTAAACGTACAGCTCGCCCTTTCAGAGATGAATAAATAGGGAGAACCAGCACTGGGGCAGTGAGAAGGTACAGCAGCTTCAGGAAGGAGAGCACTGCCTGAAGAAGAAAGAGAATATCTCTGTAAATTGTTGGCTTTGAAGAGTAGATGACTGATTTGGGAAATACTGGCTTGCATAAAGACCACACATAAGCAAGAGTCTGGGCCCAGGCCCAGGGAGAGAAAGCAGTGTGAGGAGCTGACAGAACTGAAGAGGGCTTGGCTGAAACGACAGCCACAACTTCTAGTTGGGGCTGTATGGTGGGTTACGTGTCCTGAGTATGATTTCTATCTGAAAGAGTTTAAATGCTGGATAAACTATAAAATGCATTTTGAAAGGCATCACTGAGCAGGCACTGAAACCACAAGTTTTGCAAATCTCAAAAGTGAGCTAAGTGAGTGGTCCAAATGCTAAGGCCAGCCCTCACTTGGAGAATTTCTGCCAGACTCAAAGTACGCAGAGCCCCTCTGCCCTGATGGACAAACGACGGGAAGATAGGAGACCAGGCCCAGGCCCCGCCTGAGGCGGGGAGATGAAGTGCAAACCCGTGCATAAAGCTAAGTTTTCGTGCCGCTGTGTGAGTGAGAATGAGAAATCCCACCACGCCCAAGAAAACTTGCCTGTTTCAACCTTGGTGTGGGGTGGCGGCAGGGAGACAGGATATGTAAACAGAGTGTAGAAAAGGAGGGAAGCAATCCGGCTCTTTATGAGAGTAGTATAACTCTGGTATGAAATACTATAAGGAAGTACATGGAAAGTTATCCAAACCCACTCATGAACACTAACCCCAAAATCTCAGAATACCAGAAAACTGAGTCTACTGGGAGTAAAAAATAACGATAGAATATATTTTTATTTTTATATGAAAAATATGTAAAAGAACATATCATGACTAATTGGTTCACTTTAGTATTACAAAACCAGTTCACGTAATATACCATTCCTAAAACTACAATTAAAACCCTATCAGTAAAAATCTGTGATCACTTCAGTAGGTACAGAAAAACGTGTTCATTTATGATTAAGGTGAACATCACTTATGATTAAAAGTACTTCATGAACTCTTGGGGCGCCTGGGTGGCTCAGTCAGTGGGGCGTCCGACTTTGGCTCAGGCCATGATCTCACAGTCTGTGAGTTCAAGCCCCACATCAGGCTCTGTGCTGACAGCTCAGAGCCTGGAGCATGCTTTGGATTTTGTGTCTCCATCTCTCTCTGCCCCCCTTCCCTCCCTCCCTCCCTCTCTCTCTCTCTCTTTCTCTCTCTCTCTCTTAAAAATAAACATTAAAAAAGTTTTTTTTTAATAAACAAAGTATTTAGTGAACTACTATAGAATGGAAATTTACTAATCTCAGAAAGGATGGCTTAAAAAAAAAGCCTTAGCTAGCAAACATCATATTAATGGAGAAAAGTTGAAAATGTTTTTTAAAAGATAAAAACATTCTTATGATGCCCTGAATTAACTACTTCGCTCAGTATTAATAGAAGCCTTAAGTTCTGCAATAATATAAGAAGTAAATGGTGTATGGATTGGAAACAACAACAAAAAAAAGTGCTGTTAGTTGCAGATGATGTCTTAATGGGAAAAAAAATCTTACACAAAACAGAGATAACAGTTTAGCAATGTTGCCAAATATAAGATCTCTATAGAACAGCCTTCTCCACTTCTCTATAGAACAGCCAGCAAGGAATAGTTAGAAAATAAAATGTTAAAAAAAAAAAAAAAGATCCCATTTACAATAGCAGAGGAAATAATAAGCTATAATTATTAGCTTAGGTATAGGAATATGCTTAACAAAATATGCCTAAAATAGAACATTTGAAACTTACTGGAAATTAAGTGGAGAGGAGGATAATAGTCATGGATAGAAAGGTTAAAAATATCAGTTCTCCCCACATTGATCTAGAAATTCAGTGCATTTCCAGTTGTAATCTCAACAGAATTTTCTTGGAGGAACTAACTGATTTTAACATTTATGTGGAAATGCATATTTTAAAAAATAGGTAAGGTATTCTTAAAGACTAAGGATCAACAGTGCTGACACTACCAGATATCAAGACTTATTTTGAGGCTATATTAATTGTGGCAGTGACATATTTTTTTAAAATTTTTTTAAATGTTTATTTTTGAGAGAGAGAGAGAGAGAGACAGTGTGAGCAGAGAAGAGGCAGAGAGAGAGGGAGAGACAGAATCCGAAGCAGGCTCCAGGCTCTGAGCTGTAAGCACAGAGCCCTATGTGGGGCTCGAACTCACGAACCATGAGATCATGACCTGAACCGAAGTCAGACACCCAACTGAGCCACCCAGCCACCCCTGGCAGTGACATATTGATGCAGAAATTCACAAATAAATTAGTGAAACAGTAATGTCTGGAAACCATCCCATGTTTATACAGCAACTTGACTTAGGACAGAGGATGCCTTGTTAATTATAGCAGAGGAAAAAAAGACCATCAGAGAGTGCTGGTTATCCATAAGGAAAATAAATGAAGTTGGATACTTATGGTATCATACCAAAATTGATTCCATGAGGATTAAAGACTTAAATATGAAACGCAAAAATAATAATTCTTTTTGAAGACAGCATAGGAGAATACCTTTATAATTTTGGAGTAGGGAAAGATTTTTTAAATAAAACACAAAAGATGGGATGGTGAGGACATTACATACTCTAGAATGTGGCTACCAAAGGCTATTGAGTAGTGCACCCTTTCCTAGGAAGGAGTAGTGGTCATGTGGAAGTTTTTTCAGATTTATAAAAACTGTCACAATACCAGTAGAAAAAAATGTATCTGTGATCAGACAATCTGTATGAAGAAATAAAAACTGCAGGAAAAATACCCTTTTTGATAACTAGAAACAAATTCTTAAATTGTGAGGTACTATTTAACGTTATTAGCAAAAATGCAAGAAATATCATCCAAAGTTGGTAGCATAGCATTATAAACAAGCTGCAGGGAGAAAGATATACATATGGCATCTCTGTATGGAAGGCAGCAAGAATTAGTGTTAGAAAAAAATTTCTTTCCATTAATTCAGTAAACTCACTCCTGGAAGTTTACTCCTAAAGCAAAAACAAAATACTGGTTATACGAACATGTTCACTTAGTATCTTGATAGCAAAAAAACTGTAAGGAACACACATATCCAAGTGTTTATTAAGATTATTACCTTAATAGGGGCGCCTGGGTGGCTTAGTCGGTTAAGCGTCCGACTTTCGCTTAGGTCATGATCTCGCAGTTCGTGGGTTCGAGCCCCGCGTTGGGCTCTGTGCTGACTGCCAGCTCAGAGCCTGGAGCCTGTTTCAGCCTGTGACTCCCTCTCTCTCTGACCCTCCCCTGCTCACACTGTCTCTCTCTCTCTCCTAAAAATAAATAAAACATTAAAAAATATATATATATTATTACCTTAATATTACTGCCTTAAAATGATTAAATACATAGTCATTAAAAGTATTAGTTTTGAAACCTGGAAATATTTGGAGTGGTTTTTTTTGTTTGTTTTGTTTTGTTTTTAAGTTTATTTGTTTCGAGAGAGAGAGAACCATGCAGCTGAGGCGCAAAGGGAGAGAGAGAATCCCAAGCAGGTGCCACACTGTCAGCACAGAGTCTGACGCAGGGCTCAATCCCACGAACCATGAGATCATGACCTGAGCTGAGATCAAGAGTCAGATGCTTAACCGACTAAGCCACCCGCATGCCCCTGAAGTGTTTTTATATGTGTCCGTTATGTAAAAGTATGGATGAAAAAGGGATGAAGGGTTATCAGTGGTTACAAGTGAGTGTGACAAGTGATAGGCTAACTTAGTAGGATACAGCAGGAAGTTTTTTCATCATTACTTTTAACATTATGGAATGTATTTTTATTTTAAACACACTTAGCATATAGGATTATAATATAGTTGTTATTCCATGCCTCCAAAAGGAAAGTTGTAAAGATTTTTTCATTTGCTTTTATGATTTTAGGAAAACAGTGGTATGTCCTATCATTGATGTGATCAGCGATGACACTTTTGAGTACATGGCAGGCTCTGATATGACCTATGGTGGCTTCAACTGGAAGCTCAATTTTCGCTGGTATCCTGTTCCCCAAAGAGAAATGGACAGAAGGAAAGGTGATCGGACTCTTCCTGTCAGGTGATTGATTTGTCAAACATTTTCCCTAAAGTGTTATCAGCGGGGGATAGTGAAGCTTTGGGCATCCTCTCAGAAGGATTTTAAGTGTTCTGTTTTGAAAAACACAAGGCATTTGTATACCATATATGTAGTCAAGAGCCATCTTTCACATGTATCATTATTTTAAAGAGGGCTTTTTACTCTGATCACTTATTAAATTTACAGTTTTTCATTTATATAAATCTAGCATACCTGAAAAGTGATGGTAACATGCATATGTTTCTTCATTCCTGTGTGAACATTTTGCAAATCTGTCAGATTTATGCTTTGATTCAGTTGTTGAGGATAATAATATTGGGCTTTAAATCAAACTGTCCCTTAATTAATTGTAAGTGTTGGTCTGTGAAAATATTACCTGAAGCGGGTGGTTGCACCAAAAAATAAGATTGTAAATTCAGACTTGTACCATCCGGATGATAGTTACTGACTGATAAGGTTAGAAAATCTGGTTTCAGATACAGAAATAACTAGACTTGACAGAAGTATAAAAAAGGATTTCCATGGACACATTCTGACTTATCCTTTGTTTTATATTTGGTCATCTGTAGATTTTTTTCAGAAAGGGGTAAGATTCTTTATGCTGTTCAGAACAGACCTTGAGCTCTCTGAGCCGTCCTGGGCTTTGTCCCGCAGCACCCGCCTGCTGCTTCAGCAGTGGTTGGGAGCCCCTTCAGAACCACGCCTTAGCTTTCTCCCTTCCCAGCCTTCTCCAAAGGCCTGCTTTCCCTCGAACTCAAGTCCTCTTCTGGCAAAGCTGAGGAGAATTTCATTAATTCTGGGCTTTTTCTCCTGCCCTGCCAGAGTCCTTTGCTAACAAAGGTACTTGTCCACTCTTTTGCTGACAATGTAACAAATCACTCTCTAAATCAGGGGTTCCCAAACATTTTGTAGACAGTAGGCTTCTTTGCTGTGAGTCTTCTCTAATAGGGCGAAAATGCACATGTGCAAACAAGATTGAGCATACAATTCCAGGAAATGTCAAGATACCTCAAAACCAAGGGCAAGAAACCTGGTACTGAATGGTAACTATGTGGGTGTTGGCCTGTTTCCTCTGCCTCCTAAGATAGTAGACGTTTCTCATTCTTTTTCTCTTCTGAAATCAGAGTATATCCTAACTTCCATGTGGGAACAACTGTTTCTACTGCAAAGGCAAATGCTGCCACCCTTTACAGCACGGAATCCATATGTTTTAGGGCATGCCATCAGAGGCGACAGTTCATGCTAAAATAAGATGGCCATGGTTTCCTTTTTCCCTGGAACTTAATTATTTTCTTCTAGTTGGAGTCCATTTTTCTTCATACTCATCCTTCATGGAAATCAAATGGTTGATGGGTATTTGTTTATTTAAATACTCCTTCATTATCATTTCTCTACTGAATTCCAGCTATTTCTGCCCACTCTGCAAACCTGGGCCATGTGCTGATGAAATGGGTTTCCTCATCTGCAGAGAATACACCATACTTGGTCAGGATGATAGTCCCCTTATGAGTGTACTCATTTCATTCTGTACTTCATTCCTTTCCTTAAAGATTTCTGTTAGGTATAGGAAAAACCATCTCATTGTTTTTGTCGTATTTAATCTATATCTTTGCAGTATTTGCCACACTTTAGAACCTGGTGTGTAAGAGTTGCTAACATGAAGCTAGTTGATTATATAGTCAATACAGTTAGTTAATATAGTCAGTGTAGTTGCTAGGAACTGTGGGAAGATACACAGTCAGATGGAGAGAATTAGAAGAACTAGCCTTAATTTAAGGAGTTGCAGGTGACTAAGCTTCGTCAGGACCTGAGGACCAAGACAGGTACTAGGAACAGGAGTGGCCCTGGGGCCGAGAAGGCTGTCAGGGCAAAGGCTGAGACAGAGTAGGTCCCCGGTTAGCACGGTGGGTGTACATCTGCCTGAAGGAAGACCAAAGAGCAGATCGTAAAAACATGAAAAAGCCTTAGGGGGCCTATGAACATTTCTGAAGAATGTGAGAATAAGCATTTATTTTGTCATTGTATACAGTTAATACTACTTTTGTATACAAAAGTATACAGTTGTATACAGTTAATACTACTTTTAAAAACAAAAATTGATTGTACATTTTAAATTCTTACAATTGACGGTATAGAGTTATGATTGAATTTCAGAACACCTACAATGGCAGGAGGCCTATTTTCAATAGACAGAGATTACTTCCAGGAGATTGGAACATACGATGCTGGAATGGATATCTGGGGAGGAGAAAACCTAGAGATTTCCTTTAGGGTAAGTTCCCTTTGAAAAAAAAGATCTTTTATTTAACCTCAAATATAGGTGCACTTTAATTACTCATGTCATGTATCTTTAAATAAAAAATAAAAATTGAATTTTTTTTTTTTTTTAAATTTTTATTTATTTCTAGGAGAGAGAGAGATAGACAGCGTGAACAAGGGTGGGTCAGAGAGAGAGGGAGACACAGACTCTGAAACAGGCTCCAGGCTCTGAGCTGGCAGTCAGCACAGAGCCCGACGCGGGGCTCGAACCCACGAACTGCGAGATCATGACCCAAGCGAAAGTCGGACGTTTAACCAACTAAGCCACCCAGGCGCCCCAAAAAATAAAAATTGAATTTAACAAGAGTTTCATCAGACTCCAGAACCTCAGTTCATAAAAAGTTAGATGTTAATATTAAGAGTTCCTTATAAACTGTATTTTAAGCAAATAATTCAGTTAAGTTAATAGTTAAGCTATAAAACTTACACAAGATCCCCTAGTTGTTTTGAATTTCTGTTACTTACAAGGAACTAATTCAAGCTCTAAAAATAAAAAACAATATGTTGTTTCTATATGCTACTATGGTACGTAACTGCCAGAAATGTAATTTTACTTTCTGTAACATGCTTTGTCCTTCTGTCGTGAAAATTGTTGTCTCTTATATAAAACCTGGTCACTTTACTGGCTTTACATTTTTCAATAAAAAGAAAAAGACAAGAGTTCTAAAATTGCTCTAAGTTAATTTAACCCAGTCAACCTTATGTAAAACTGTTAATGAAGCATTTCACGTTCACTATAATCAATGTGTTTAGTGACATTGTGTATTTCTGAAAATAATTACCATGAGACACCTGGCATATAGTGGTAACCACACTGAACTGCTCTGTAATCTAAACCAGCTACCTCACTTCATTTCGAGCGGATCACTTTGCTCCCGTAGAAAAGGAGAGGTCTGGACTCTAGATCACCTGGGAGATCCTACCCAGCTGTATCACTTTCTGATCTGGAGAGAACTTTAGAGACACTGAATATGTAACAAAATCAAAACTTCTCAAAATCTGTTTAAATTGTAAATCGCAGATTTTTAACTTACAGAAAAATGCATTTCAAAAGGAGCAGAAGGTTAATTTCATTAAACTAAGAATGAGAACTCAAACATGATGATCTTAATTCATGAGAGATCCGGTTTCGATTTCTAGAGTCTGTTGAATGGACAGGCTATGACAGGTTTGGAGAAGGAGGAATAGATAGGACTCTGGCCGAATACTCCACGGTCAAAAGTTTTTTGACCATGAACCATGCATATACGACACACAAAATCTAAACAGTTCATGAAACAGTATGTCCTTGTTAGCAAGTGCTGGTTGCAATGCCTCAAATTTTAACTTAGGATCTTTTTATGAGTCCTGGCCTGCAGTTAGAAAAATATTACTCTAGGGGCACCTTGGTGGCTCAGTCAGCTAAGCATCTGACTCTTGATTTCACCTCAAGTCGTGATCCCATGGATAGTGAGTTCGAGCCCTGCATCCTGCTCCATGCAGTCGGAGTGGAGTCCGCTTGGGATCCTCCGTCTCCTTCTCTCTCTGTCCCTCCCCAGCTCATACCTGCACATGCATATGTATGCGTTCTTTTTTTCGAAATAAACTTAAAAAAAATATTACTCTAGACTTCATATCTTTTCTGCATTTAGCGTTTAACATATCTTTTCTGAATTTAACCTTCAACTTCTGGTTTGATCAGAACCAAAAGTTATACAATAGTATCCTTCTGAGAAAGTAGAGCTTTGTGACTGTAGCCATGATTCTGTGAAGTTTTAACTGTAAACATCCATAGATGTGAATAGTTTTTTAAATTTTTTTAATGTTTTATTTATTTCTGAGAATAGCGTGAGCAGTGGAGGGTCAGAGAGAGAGGGGGACACAGAATCTGAAGCAGGCTCCAGGCTCTGAGCTGTCAGCACAGAGCCCAACGCAGGGCTCAAGCCCACAAGCTGTGAGATCATGACCTGAGCCAAAGTCGGAGGCTTAACCGACTGAGCCACCCAGGTGAACCTGAACAGTTTTTTAAAAACCATCAGGGTCTTATGTGGTCTTCTTTGCTATTGTTTCCAGATTTGGCAGTGTGGAGGAACGCTGGAGATTGTTACCTGCTCACACGTCGGACATGTATTTCGGAAAGCCACACCTTACACGTTTCCTGGAGGCACAGGACAAATTATTAATAAAAATAACAGGCGACTTGCAGAAGTGTGGATGGATGAGTTCAAGAATTTCTTCTATATAATTTCTCCAGGTTAGCATTACTTTGCATTAGAAGTACAGGAGTAGAACTTTCTTGTTCCTGATCTTAATGCATCTGTAAGGTAAGAAGAGGTAGAAAAGCCTTGAGGAGAGGCAGAACACCAGCCTCAAAGGGCTGTTGTAAGGAATAAAGGAAATCTCACGCAGTGTACCGTGCTTAGCAAAGTGCCTAAAATAGTAACACAATGAGTTATCCAGGTCAGTATTCCACCCGTTACTGTTAGCCCAGGTGTCTATTTTTAACCTAATTATGATGTATAACATTTACATGAAAATTGGAGTCTCTCTGGGCCAGTGTGGAGCACTGTAGCATACCTCAAGGGACTTCTCTCCAGGAACTTCTCTGCTATTCAGAGTTTTGTGGGAACAGTTGTTCCTTCAGCTCTAAGTCTTCCTGACATTGTTGCCATTCCAGCCTCCCTTGTAATTACCCGTAAGACTGTCCAGTCAGCTTGCACAGGTCCGAGACTTGTGGGCGAGAAACCTGACTGGAAACAGTTGCTTTGCTTCATACTTGGGCAAAATAGATCTTGATTCTTGTTTTTGCCTGAACATATATATTCAAGTTTTCTGATCCTGTAATAACTTATGTTTGTGTGTAATATTACTAGTATTGTATTTCATTCTGACAATGAAAATCTAATTTTTCTTTGAAAAAAACAGATTTCCTTGTTTTCTGTTTTAAACAGTGGATTCATGGTATATCACCTTTTTTTTTTTGGTGATGTCACATCACCAAAATGATCCCACTTTTCTCATTTGCCTGGCTTGTTAATAAGTGCATTATTTAAATAGAAATATGTTAACTAATAGAACATGAATAATTCAGAGTCAATTATTTCTTTCAACAGGTGTTACAAAGGTAGATTATGGAGATATATCATCAAGACTTGGCCTAAGACACAAACTACAATGCAAACCTTTCTCTTGGTACCTAGAGAATATTTATCCTGATTCACAGATACCACGTCACTATTTCTCTTTGGGAGAGGTAAAATATATATATCCTGTATGGTTATTATGTTCTCATTTATCAAAAAAGATAGAGCTTAAACATCCAACAAAGGAATCCCTTCATATTAAAATTAAATAACTTCAAGTATGAGACAATTCTTATTAGCACAGTCTACCTCATAACTTGAAGTCTTATTAATTTTTCATGTTATATATTATTAAAATAATAATGTTCCACCCCTAACCTTTCAAAGGTTGACTCTTGCTTCAATATATTAGTGTCTTCAGTAGACTTCTTATTTTAACAAAATATCCCATGAAGTTGAAAGCATATATCCTGGTGTTAATTAGCCTGAATGAAAATTTAGTGAACATCAAAGTAAAGATAAATTGTAAAGAAAGAACAAGGAAAGTTGAGAGACCATATATAATAGAATTCACAGCAGCAAATGATGTGTGTGGCCAGGGCCAGAGCCAGGCCCCATCCCAGGATTCAGTCTCCTGATACTTGGGAAAAGTAACCCGACTACATAGGAGGTTGTCCCTTCTTCAGCCACTTCATTCATTCAGTAAATATTTGAGTACCTACCATGTGATAGGTACTATTTTACATACAAGGAATACAGCAGTGAATAAAGTCTCCGCACTTGCAAATCTTACAGTCTGTGGAAGAAGCCAGGCTTTTAAAGTATACAGTATGGCAGGCGGTGCTAAGGGCAAAGGGGAAGGAGAATGACTGGTGGGCCTGGGTAGCGGTACTGTTTATGTTCAGGTAGTTGAAAAAGGCCCCTCATATAAGAGTTTTTGATTTTTGAGCAGAAATTTAGAGGAAGTGAATGAGCAGGCCATTTGAACTCCTGGGGAAAGTGTTCTGGGTGCAGGGAAAAATAGGTACAAGGGCCCTAAGACAAGAGTGCACTTGGTGTGTTCCAGAAACAGCAGAGAGGACAGTTGTCTGGAATGGAGTGAACAGGGGCTAGGAGAATAGTAGAAGATGAGGTTGAGACACTGAAGGTCACGTCACATGGAGCTGGTAGGCCACAGTAAGCACTTTGGGTTTTATTCTGAGTAAGATGAGAAGCCAGAGAGAGACAAGCAAACTTTCACTGGGAAAAGTTCAGATAGTGTGTGGGAACAAGAGTAGAGCTGGGGTATTACTGAAAGGAAAGGGGTAATGAAGGACTATGGTAAGATGTTAGCCTGAGAAACTGGGGCAGAGAAGTTGGCATTGAGATGGGAAGGCTGGTGGAGAAGGTAATAGGCAATCAGCAGTGTAGTTTGGGACATGTTAAATTAGGTCCAGGTCAAGATACAGGGTAAGTACTTGCATTTACAAATCTGTAGTTTGGATGAGAGATTGGGGATGGAGATCTAAAGTTAGGAGTTGTCAATATATAGGTAGTTTTTAAAACCATAAAACTGTATGAGATCACCTTGGGAGGAGTGAGTGTAGACTGAGAAGAGGGGAGGATTAAGGACAAAGCAATAGAAAACTCCACAATTTAGAAATTTTCAAACAAGAAGGAATTAGCCAAAAAGTTTAAGAAAGAGTGACCATTGAAATAAGAGAATCAAGACTGTGTGTCCCAGAGACTATGTGAAGGATGTGTTTGAAGAAAGAGGAAGTGGTTGGGGCACCTGGGTGGCTCAGATGATTGAGAGTTCAGCTCTTGGTTTCTACTCAGGTCATGATCTCACGGTTTGCAAGTTCAAGTCCCAAGTCAGGCTCTGTGCTGACTACATGGTGCCTGCTTGGAATTCTGCCCCCCCCCCCGGCCCCCCTTTCATAATAAATACATCAACTTAAAGAAAAAGAAAGAGGAAGTGGTTGACTGCTGAGTAAGACTAGTACAGAGAACTGACCACTGGACTGGTAAGGGAGAAGTTGTCAGTGGGCTCCATCTCGCTGTGTCAACAGGGTTCCCATGGAGGTTGGTAGGGACAAAATCCCCAATGGGTTCAAGGAAGAAGAGGAAGTGGAGATCATGAGTCTGGGCAAGTCTTGCAAGAAATTTTGTTGTAAAGGAGAGCAGAGAAATAAGTAGCTGAAGGGGAATATGGAGCTAAAGAAAGTTTTTTTTCTGTGTTTTGCTAAGCTGGAACTGCTGATGCAAATGACTAAAAGACAGAATGTGAAGATGCCAGAAAAGAGCACTGATGGCAGGAGTCACGTGTAGTAGGTGGTCATGGTGGGGCAAGATGAGAAGGCAGGGTGTCTGTTGAAGTAGGAAGGAAGTGGAGGGAGTGGGGGCAAGTGCAGGGTCAGTCGTGATTGGAGGGTAGAGGTGGGTAGTCTGTGGTGGGAGTGTGACAAAGTTCTCTGATTCTTCCATGTCCTCATTCAACACAACATTATCAGTTGAGAGTGTAGAGAGGGTATTGGTGGTGTTAGGGGCTTGGGGAACGAGGAAGAGATGAACGTAGAAGAGCAGGATATGAGAGAGCAGCAGAATCATCATAGAGGGGAGCCAAGTGGCTGATGGTGGTGAGTTGGAGTGAAACCATCCAGCCTGTGCCAGCATGAGTACAGGCTACCGTTTGTCCTTAGGAGTTACTAAGGCTACTTCAGGGGAGACCTGAGCTCCCTACTTGTGAACTCTGTAGAACTCTAGCAGTTTGTGAAATTCATCCTCAAACAGGAGAGGAGTAGGCTGAGTTTCTTGGTTCATTAATGAGACTCTGTTCCCATTATTGTAACCTCATTCCAGTCCAGAAAGGCCCGGGGATGTACTATGGGAAGATTTATAGCAGTTGTTTCTCTAACTTGCCTTCAGAATAGAGAGAATGAGTTGTGTTTTTTTATCCTTGAACTGACCCAATTTTGGATAACACCTAGGCATTGTTAGCTGGGCCAGAATCCAGGCATATTACAAAGAGCCACTTGTCTAACCCACAGTAGATGATTGCCAAGGCAAGTTTGTTCTTTACCTGCCTCTTGCCAGCTGGCATTCTGTAAAAGGAACAGATTTTACCCTCTGTGGCTTACTTGTCACACTGCCTTTTCAGCTAAGCAGATGCTCTTAAGCTTGTTTGCCCTTAGTATCTGGCCACACTAGGCAGATTAAAACTCTGACTTCTGGGGCTGGGGTTGTTCTCAAACACCCACCCCAGTGCAGCTGGGAGTCTCATGCTGGGACCATAGCTCCACCTGTGTGAGCTTTCCTATGCTAGAAACTGGAATTTAGCCTGTCAGGGATCTTTTGTCATGCTTCAAAGGGTCTATAGAAGCCTGAAATCATAGGATTTTAGAGTAGAAAGGGGAATGAGAAGGTGTGAATTTAGAGTCTCTGCCTTTACTAAGTCTGACTTCATGGCTCCGATAGGACCTGAAACTGAGTAAAGAGTTTCAGACCTGGAGAGAAATACTCCAGGAGATAAATACTCTAAACAATAACCACAGATAACAAGTCAGACCTTTCACAGTTTAGCCAATCTTACGGACTGACAGATGTCTTCTCCAGGCAGATCTAATAATCCTAAGATTTAGTGAGTATGAACTCTATGTCAAGCCCTGGTCTGAGCGCTTTACAAACATTAACTCATTTTAGCCTTATATCAATACTGTGAGATATAGGTGCTATAATCCCCATTTAACCATAAGTTCAGGCATAAGTAAATGATTTAAACAACATCCTCGGGTCATAACCACAAAATGGAAGAGACAGGATTTGAACATAGGCAGTATGGCTTGAGAATTTGTGCTCTTACCATTCAAACCCATACCCTTTCTCATTTCCAACCAATATTTCTCTTATTGCAGCAAGGGAAAGAGTGAATCCAGATTCCACTATACTGGAATCCAGAAGGTCTTTAACTGCCTGTGTTGTTCTGCCTAGTGGAGGTACCAAGATTCTGGAGAAGACTATAGCAAAAACCAAGAAATGTAGGCTATAGGCTCCTGCCTGCTTCCCAGGAATGGGTGCCCAATAGCAAGAAGTAAAAGAAAAAAATACTCAGTAGCCACTTATGGCTAGGGGCTCCCATATTAGATGGCACCAGTATAGAACATTTCCATCATTACAGGAAGTTCTATTAGTGCTGTTAGCACAAATAGGCAACACAGGAGGTTGTCTCTCTTGCTGTCATTCCACACATTACTCCCTGCCAAGGTGTGAGATGTCCACCTTTGTCCACATTTGCTTGTCAAACCCGACGTTTTAAAAGCTCATAACTACTGTATACCTGTGTAATCTCAAACAGTTTAGGTACTTCCTAAAACAACTTTCGTAGGGATGTTCTTGTATCATATTCCCAAACCGTCCTGTCAGTAGTTATTTTCCTCCTAGGCTAAGGAGGACATCAGGATCATATTTTCAGCAATGATGAAAAGCTCCTTTCTTTTCCTATGCCAAGTCTTTAAGGGTCCCTGATAATTTAGAATCTTAGTTGCCATTAGACATCCTTGATGATTACCAAATATCTTCCCAAACAAGAAGACATCTCTTATTTCTCTTTCCAAGGCAGTCATCAAGATGGAACTTGGAATGTGAGTAAACTGGAAGGAATTGATAGTGTAATGAAGCCACTGAGCATTCTGCCGTCAGCCTACACTGTATATATGTATGTAGTAGAGAGTTTAGATTGACTTAATGTACATATGCATCTGTAGGTATGTTTGTCTTGTTTACCTCTAACTCCTTCTGTTTTCTTTATTCATTGTCCCTTAGATAAGAAATGTGGAAACAAATCAGTGTCTAGATAACATGGCTAGAAAAGAGAATGAAAAAGTTGGAATTTTTAACTGTCATGGTATGGGAGGTAACCAGGTGAGTACTTTAGTAAAGCTTTAAAAGGAATAATTTCTGGGGCGCCTAGTGGCTCAGTCAGTTAAGTGTCCACCTTCAGCTCAGGTCATGTTCTCATAGTCTATGAGCTTGAGCCCTGCATCAGGCTCTGCTGACAGCTCAAAGCCTGGTACCTGCTTCAGATTCTGTATCCCCCTCTCTCTCTGTGCCCCTAACCACCCCCCTCACGCTCTTTCTCTGTCTCTGAAAAATGAATAACAGAAGGAATAATTTTTAGATTTGTTTGAATCTTCTCCTTTTACCTTATGATGTCATTCAGGGAAAAAGTTTCCTACCTATGAAGAAACAATTATAAAGATCTTTAGGAGAAGGGAGCCCTCAGTCTAATGATTGTTTTCAAATAAAATATTTGTAAAAGGTCCCTTGTGAGAACCATATTTACATTGCTTTGCATGAGATTTATTTTGCCCTTTATAGTCGAACAGCCTTTGACAGTCCTTGACAATACACTTAAGTGTATACAGAGAACTAAAGGTCATTTTTTTCTTTCCTGTATGCAAAATTAGTGGTAGCTTTTTCTGAGTCATCTATCCTCCTAATATTATATTAATAAAGTTCAAAAATCATGTATCTTGAGATACTTGTTTTTTCTCTGCCAGATTAGTGGCTAGTTTCTTTAACTAGCCAGTAATATATGGTGTGCTTTTTTATTTTTCAGGTTTTCTCTTATACTGCCAACAAAGAAATTAGAACAGATGACCTTTGCTTGGATGTCTCCAAACTTAATGGCCCAGTCACAATGCTCAAATGCCACCACCTGAAAGGCAACCAGCTTTGGGAGTATGACCCAGTGGTAAGTTATTTAATTGCATAGAGGAATGAAATTATATGTGTTTTGGAGCCAAAAGAATGAATTCTTTATGGCAAAAAGAATGAGTTCTTGTAAAGTTTGAATATGGATCAAATTGTTCTTAAATCTAAAAATCTACAGGTGGGAAAAACAGTATAAGTAAAGTAAACATGTTTTAATTTCCCAGTAATTACTCTTGCCCCCCGTTTCCTGGGTCCTTGTTGCCACTATAGATAGCCAGTCTTCTGTGGTCATGAGCTGGAGCTCTGTAGTCCAGTGTGGGAGAAATGCCGCTAGGAGTAGGCTGTTTACCGAATTAAGCACTTAGGTAAAAGGTGAGCTTTAAATAATGAAATTCTCTGGCTCATAATGATTTTTCTGTGGCATATATAACAAAGCTTTTTATCTTTGCTTTCCTCTGAAACCTCTCCCTCTCCCTGTCACCACACGCTGCGTGCTGCTGTCCTCCTCACACACCGGTGCAGAGGTCACACAGTGCAGCCCCGGTAAGCCTCGCTCCTGCACCTGGTATCTGGCTGACTGTCCCACTTGTGGTTTTGCTTTATAGTTCTGGAACCAGCGCCAGAATCTGCACTAGGTCTTCTCTGGTTCTTTTTCTTCTGCACACAAGCACTGATTTTCTCTCTTCTGTTAGGAAAAACTTTTGCTCCCGCCTTACTTCCTGCACACCATCATGTGTCCTACGTATAACAGCAAATGAGAGGCCGGCACTCATCCCTCTGCTTCTCCATCCACAGCTCCAGCCTCAGCCTGACGCTGTGGAGATAGCATCTCCATAAGGATGCAAAGCCAGGAGCCTTCTGTCTCTTTTTCCTTAACTTCTTTATTAGCATTTTGACTTAATTAGCAGTCACGACTTTGGCTGTCTTTTTTCCCTATATCAGGTCATATACAAACCCTCGTCTACTTTAATCATCAACTCTGCTGTTCCTGGAGCATATCCTGTACTTTCACACTTACATTGAAGATCATACAGTTTCCTCTGCCTCTAACAAATCCTACCCCTTCTTCGGGGCCCAGCTTTGACATCACTTCCATGAATCCGAGCCAGAAACTAGCTCTGTCTCTTCTAGTTATAACCCTCTCTGACCCCTGTAATGCTGTGCTGCTTCGTAGCTCTTCATCTGCCAGTCTTTTCTCCACTATTGCACTGTTATCCCCCAGAGGGCAAAGACCAATACTGGGCCTTCCTTCATGTGTCAAACTGTAGTAAAACTAATATTAAATATACCACTAGCTCAGTTAATATGGCCATTAGAAATGGCCTGGATAATCTGTTCTGGATCTTTCCATACCGCCTGCTACTGCTATTTTGGGTGTAGCTGCCCCAGGCACTGCAGGACGTATGCACCCCTGACTTCAGACAGTAAATGCCACCAGCAGCCCCCAGGTATTATGAGAGCCAGAATATTTTAAAAATCAAAATGCCTCCCACTTCAGTGGGAATTCACTGAAAAGTGACAGTATATGACTGAGGTAATGTAAACCCTGTGATGGTGGCATGAACAAATAGGGGCTTATGCTTCTTAAGTGCGGAGGTAAGTGGCTTCTGATTTAGAGATTCAGTACCACAGTGATGTCAGGGATAGTTTTGCTGCATTTTCCTGGCTTTTCTTTTTGAAAGGCCACAATGGCTGCTGCAGTCCTTACCCTCACATCCCGACCCTAGGGAGAGGAAGGGAAGAGGGGACATTGCACTACCCCTTGTTCTGCTCTTTATCAGGAAGGCTGAAGCTTCTCCTGGACCCTCCTCTGCAGACTCTGCTGTGTCTTATGGGTCAGAACTTCATCCCATGGTGACCTCCCTCCCCTGAACATCTATCTGCACAGGAGGCTGGTTAAACAGGCATTGTTTTTCCAGTCTCTGTGATGGGATGGAGACAGGAAGTGGGAATGGCTGTTCATAGCCTGTGTCTGAGGTCTGCGATCTGCCACACCTGCTATTCCAAAAGCAAACATGTGGTTAGAAGTTTAAGGAGCTGAAGTAGGTTTTAGGGTATTTAGAAAGAATCAGTTGTGAATGTAAAGTTTTAAAACTTCTGGAGCCCTTTTATTGGTATCTTCTCTGAGATAAAACTTTAGTATTACAAGCTGGATTCTATCAGATAAAGTCGAAGTTAGTTCAGTGTTCACAAGATAAAGTTCAGTGTGCACAGTATTTATTAGGGAACACTCTTTGGATTAACACCTGTGAAAAGGAAAAGGACAAGGCAGAATTGGGCAGAGGGAGGAGTCACACCGCGATGCAGGTCCCAGAGGCCGAGCCAACTGCGTAGGGAGCTCCAGGACAGACAGTCGGCCGTGTCCTGCCTCCATCAGTCTAAACCACAGCAATCTGGAAAAATAAAATATTCAGGTCAGTGATTTATAATCTAAATCTAAAATCATGAAACCGTAGGCTCCAAAGGAACCGTAGAAATAAATCCCAGGACCTGTTTTATACGTGTAGAGACACTGCAGCCCAGCATGGAACTTGCGCAGGCTCGCAGGGCAAGTAAAATGAGGTGCCATGCCAGGTCTCAGGTGGGCCTAGAACTTGTGATCTAGGATTCTTTGCGTAATACCATACTGTCTTTGCTTAGATTTATATATTCTTACATCTTTGAGTCTTATTTATACGTCACATTCCATTATGACACTAGGCACTTCTGCTTGGATGCATGTCTCTGTCCTTTCTGGAATAAAATGCAGATTTTGACCTACTTATACTAGAGATTAGGGGCAGGAGCCAGCAAATTACTTTTCCTAGGTTGCAAGTAGACTCTCTGCAATGATAATTATAGCTTTTATCCTCTCCTTCAAAGGTTACAGTTATCTATCTGTCACCTGTTTTATCTAGTTGCCTTAATTAAGCTTTTTCTGTGTGGAGACTACTCAGCACTGACTGGGTCTTCTCTTGAGCACAGTGACGACAGTCCCTGAAAATGAAATGTTCCAGATAAAAGAATTACAATAGAGGGATGAGTAAGAGTCTGATAAATGTGTTAGTAGACATATTTCACACTTCCTTATAGCTGTATACATTTACAGGATAATGCTTAATTCACATTCCTACACAGCTGTTTTGGTGACCAGTGTGCAGTAACAGACACATAAACTAGCCTACACTAATCACTCCCGATACCACTCGTCTGTCCTGACCTTTAGAAATTACTCTAGAAATCATCATGACAGCATCGAGTCTAGAATACAGATAAGTACATAGAAAGTTATATAGCACCATCTGTCAGCCGTTTATTAATGGCTGCTTTAAATCTTACAGTCTCTTAAGATTGAGTCTTCAAAAGGACCTGAATTTTAAGAACATAAGGTTTGGAATCACAGAATTAATTTGAACAGCCTTATCATAGGGAAATGAAGCAATTTTGAAATAGCTTTTGAAAATAGGTTGAGGATCCTAAATTAGGAACCACTAATCTGTTTTTTTGGTTCTTTTTTTTTTTAAGGAAGCTCAAGCAAAAAAGTGAAATTTCTCAGTATTACAGAGCTTGTGCAGAATTGGGACTAGCATTTTGGTCATTTTTCTTTTTAAGTTCATTGTAACCCACCGCACCCCAATGTCTTTCGCCATCACACATAGCTCTTAAGGCGGTCTTAACGTAGACACCTTTTCCTATAAGGGCAGTTTAATACTCGCCAGAAATGATGGTTGAGATGTTTGGGTTTTTTTGGTCACATTCATGTTAAGATTTCTTTTCTGTCACTTCCAGAAATTAACCCTGCAGCATGTGAACAGTAATCAGTGCCTGGATAAAGCCACAGAAGAGGACAGCCAGGTGCCCAGCATAAGAGACTGCAATGGAAGCCGGTCCCAACAGTGGCTTCTTCGAAACGTCACCCTTCCAGAAATATTCTGAGACCAAATTTACAAAAAAAAGAAAAAGAAAAAAAGGATTGACTGGGCTACCTCAGCATACATTTCTGCCACATTCTTAAGTAGCAAAAAAGGACAAGTGCTTTCCTCCTGCGGGGATGTAAGGTTTATCAGCCATTAAAACAGACTCCTCTCGCTCTTCACTAGCTGTGAACCAGCCTTCTTGTCCGAGGACGTGAAACTACAGAGTAGCGAGACTGCGCACACTGATGTTTACACGAAGGGAAGAGTCTTTCATCAAGCATCATTGTCAAGAATATTGAGACAGTGAAGCAGTCAACAAAATGTGCTTTCTGGAGAGCTGCACCTTTCATGGTTTGCTTGCACGTCAGTAACTTCCGCTGAATGTGCTGTCCTAATGAAGAGATTTCTAAGATTTTTTTTTTCTGATTAGGACTGGTAACCAGTATACTAGATATTGATATAAAAATAAGTGAAAAACTGGAACCAGTTTCAGAATCATGAAAACAACATTTTTACAATTTAAGAAAAAACTATATTAAACAGGGTTTAAAGGAAATTAAAACAGAAATATGAGAAGTACAATTTGTTATAGTATAGTATCAAATTTCTATATAGATTTTATACCTCAGTGGGGGAAAATAACGGATTCCAATGACCTTTTGTTTTCATCTGTGATAGTCATGGATGCTTTTTTTTCCTTGGGGTGCTGAAATTGAGCTGGAAAAAAAAAGGCTCTTTGAACGTAGTTTTAATTGCTTTCTTCAGTGTTTTTATTTGGTTTATGGGCTGTTGAAATTGTAATTTTTAATTGCCTTCAAAGAATGAAGATTTAACATACTGTCTGGTCTCACTGAACAGATTAGATCCCAGTTGCTCTTGGGTCAACTGGCTTATCAACTTTCACACACACAAATTTCTTATTAATTAGATTTTGAACTTCTTAACTTGATTCAGCTGATTATGCTCAATACCCAAGATTCATACTACTGTACTACAGATTTGTTTTCACAGCAATAAATCTTCAGTTCTTGATGAGTCCACTCAACAAAAGGCCTGCAGAAGTGATTATTTGGGTATTTGGAGAGGATCCATTTGATGATTTTTTTGAAAACTTTTTTCACTCCATACTCAAATGTGCTTTATTGTCAAGTGCATATTTAGATTAGGTTCTTGACTTGTAATGGTGATCTTTTTTTTTTTTTTAAAATAAAATTTGACTGAAAACGTTTGACATTTTTTTAATGAGTTAATCAAAGAAGTGCAGCTGTTCTTCTGGATTAGTCCTGCATTTCTTCCCTAAATTCCATTTAGATTAAATTGAGTTTTTCTCTGGTTTTTAATACCACAGCATAACTTCAGAATCGATTAAAACTGGAGTATAACAATTAGTGTTTTAACTTCACAGAATATCTCATTATGACATTTCCCCTGATATGTAAAGCAGTCCATTGGCAAAAGCGCTTGTATTTTCTTTCTTATTTGTAAGAATATATTTAGTGATATTCTTTTCTTTATCATAGACTCTCACTGCAGGCAGTGCTATTTCTTGTGCCTAAGAATGTTTCTGAAAGTTGCATCACTAATGCTACTTGCCGAGTTGAGTGTAGAGAGTTTTTCATCTCCTATTCAAGTTAATCAGCATCAAGCACATATGGATGCTTTAGGGTTAGACTGTAGTACAGAATGAATACATTTTGTCCCCAGGAAATTTGCAGTGAAGCAGGTGCTGGATGGGTGGTTTTGGTTTTTTGTTTTGTTTCCTACTCCATGAGCTCTGTTTATTCTGTCTTCAGTAGGCCTAATGTTTGAATAAACCAGATGTCTAATAAATTATTTTCATGCTCAGAATTTCAGGTTTTTGTACTCTAGTATAGCTTGGCCTTATTCCTTATTGTAAGAAAGCTTCAATAGCAATGTGATTCAAGGTTTTGTTTTGTTTTTTAAGAGGGGGATTTGAGTGATTTATTTCATGGGTACTTTTAGAACCTGATAGATAATCCCATTGCCTTTATTTTTCTAATTAAAGAATTCCTAAATACTTTGAAAATATAAACTATTACTAAATAGTTGTGCCTTACATTGGTTTTATTTGAAGTTAAAATGGATCCCTATTCATTACAGCTATTTGTAGATCAGGCGGTATGCTAATCACTCTAAGTCAAATTGGGAAGAAAAGAATGAATCAGAAAGCAAAGGATGAGAAGAGGAGATTATTATTTGACCAATGCAGAATTCACCAATATAACAAGAATAATCAGTCTCTCAAATTTATTCACCTTCCTCCCATCCCAATCCATTTTAAAGTCATTCCAATTGGCATCCTGAAAAAATAAATGAAGCGCAGCAGGTAGGCCATGTCCTTATTTCCCTATTCTACATTTAGGTGAGAAACAGAAGTTCCTCTGTAAAGATCTGGTGCTCACCCATCTTTCAGGAAGCACACCAAGAGTAAATTGAACTCAGAATTACATGTTCTTTTAAGGAGAAAGAAAATCAGAAAGTAGTGTTTCTCAGGTGGTAACAAAGAATGAACCATTTTTTTTTTTACTCTGGAAAATGAGATTTGTTTTCAGTTATGTAAAACTTCTCCCATTCTGACTTCCTGAAGATCAAGAGGAATTTGCTTGATCTGCCAGAACTAATAATTTTGCAGGAAATGAGGCAAAACTGAGTTGTATTGACTATACACTAGCAACAATTAAAAATTAAATTTTAAAATCTTACCATCTGTGATCATATCAAATAACTCAAATATCTAGAATGTTAACAAGAGATATGTGAGACTTCTACCCTGAAAACTACAAAATTGCTGAACTATGGAACACTGCAGTAAATGTTTGTTTATGAATTGAAAGGCTGCATAATGTCAAGATCTATATCCCACAAATCAATTTCTAGAAATTCAAATTTCAATGAAAAAATTGAACTTGTAGAAATATGCAGATATATATGGAAATCCAACAAACCCAGAACAACCCAGTTAATCTTGAAGGAGGGGGCAAATGTTGGAAGATTTAACACTACTCAATTTCATGACTTGCTTTAAAATTATAATAATTAAGAGAGTGGTAGTAGGGTTAGGACTAATCAGTGGATAGAAGAGAATCAAGAAGTGGACTTGTACATGCATATGGTCATTGGCTTTTCAACAAAAAAACACAACTCAACTCCATAGGGAAACTTTCTGAATATTGATGCTTTCACACAGTGCACAATGTTTTCAACATGGACCACAGCACCTAAATGTGAAGGACAAAACAATAAATCTTATTGAAGAAAACAGTATCTTCATGACTCTTGGGATAGGCAACGATATCTTAGGACACAAAATAAACTCCATAAAAGAAAACTGATAAATTTCACCAAAATTACATCCTTCTCATCAAAAAGATACTAAAGTCAAAAACCATGCTGCAGCCGAGGACAAAACAGCTGCAGGGCACATAACAAAGGATTTGTATGCAGAAAAACAGCTTTTAAAAGCCACTGCAAAAGCGACACAATACAAAAGTTAATAAGTGACTTGAATACACACTTCACAGAAGCTATCCAAGCACACAGCATAGGGAAGGGTGTTCACCATCAGCCATGAGGGAAGGAAGAATGAAACCACCAGGAAATAACCATGGCACACTTGCCAAAAGGGTGGTAAGGTACAGAAACTGGCAGAAGTGTAAGTTGGTAAAAAAAAAAAAAAAGTGTAAGTTGGTATAATCACCTGGGGAAACAGCTTCCCAGTTTCTTACAAATGTAAATAAACACATTCCTACTCTGATTCCACTTTAGGGATAAAACCCAAGAGAAATGAAGGATATGCCCACATTAAGATGCGTACAAGAATATTCAAAGCAGATTTAAAATAACCCTCAAACTGGAAACTCCCCCAATATCAATCAACAAGATAATGGATAATCAAATAGTTACTGAAAAGCTAGTCTACACTGATAGAATAAGGATAAATAGAAAAAATATTGAACAGAATGCTAGACATAGTAAATTTATATCAATCTCAAGAATAGGCCAAACAAACCTAAGGTGCTTACCTTTGGGTGAGTATAGACTTGAAAGTAGGGTAAGAAAACTTTCTGGAAGGATGGAAGTAATCTATAAATTGATTTAGATAGTGGCAAATTAGATCATGTAAAGTTTTATTACTGAGCTATATACTTTGGATATATGCATTTTGCCATCTGTAAATTATGCCTCAAAAAAGTGCTGGGAGAAAGTAGAATATTTACCCTGCTGACATCAAGTTTTTTTCTAAAAAGCCTTCCACTGCTACAAAATACCCAAAGACTGGCTAAATTGCAATAAACATACTAAACTGGACTCACAATATGGGAAAATCCCTAAGGTCCAGGGGGGAAAAAGATACACAAGCCACAGAAGTAATGGCTAGATATGAAAGCCTTTCCTCTCCTAAGAACATAATAGAATAACCAGAGTTTGGGGGAATGATTGCTCTTAAGCCTTGGGCCTGAACAAAATTGGGGAATTAAACTAAAGATCCCTACATACAACTGGAAAATTCAGAGAATTCTATCTACAAGTAAAAGGATGCAAGGGAAGTCGGCCTTGTAAAGGAAACCAGAGGGTAAAATATGACAGATTCTGCCTTTTTTCTAGGTAGTAAATGGTGACAAGAATGATGCCACCACTGTGATCATAAGTCCTACTTTGTAGATTTTGTTTTTAAGTAATCTCTACACCCAACATGGGGCTTGAACTCAACCCCAAGATCAAGAGTGGCACGCTCCACCAGCTGAACCAGCCAGGCACCCCAAGGCCTGCTTTATAAATAGATCAAGAGTTTAAAACCACAGTTACGAAGTCTGCAGATCTAGAGAATAAAGTGAATCTAGATTTATGGCACTTGCCGGAAACTATGAGAATACAGTATTTCTTTTGTGGGGGGAAACCTTAATCTAAGCCCCTATATGCTCACAAATTAATTATGAAATCACTACCAAAAAGAAAATGAGCCACCAATGTGTCACCAAAACAAAGTTCTGGCAAAGTGATAATAGCTTGTGTCAGACTAAACCTGCCAATAAAT